TTTAAATGGCGTTTCTGTTGAGTATTTAATTAGAACTATTTTACTTTTCTGCATCCTGTATTTAAAACTATACAGGTCTAGTGTTATCTCAGTCAGTGCCTGAGGTATGGGAGCGGCACGGGAGGGGTGTCATTGACATTATTATGACGTGACGTGACTTGACTTACTTGACTTATGGTCCTATGTCCCCTAGATGGGGCAGAGGGCGTCCACAACAGTCCTCCATCTCGTTCGGTCTTGAGCTGCCCACTTGATCTCGCTCCAGGTCTTGCCAATCTTCTTCGCCTCGTCCGCTACAGTGCGCCGCCACGTTTGCCTGGGTCGACCACGTTTGCGTTTTCCTTGGGGATTCCAATCCAGAGCCTGCTTAGGGATGTGATCGGGGTCCCTTCGGAGAGTGTGGCCAATCCAGTTCCACTTGCGACGTGACGTGACAGAGCATACAAATCTGCCCCCCTAGACAAAACGCACTTTTTGATCGAACCGAAAATCGAATCCGTCAAAACTCCATAGAAGAAAAAAGGGGCTTTTCGACCACTTTTCGACTGGTTTGCGATTATAATTTGCACTTTGTCTAGACCCACTGAAGTATACTGAAGTTTCAATGACGTTTGCCTTCTCAAAAACACCCTCCCTTGCCGCTTCCATACCTTAGGCATCCACTGAGTTAAGCTATAGTTTGATTTTCATAAACTTACCCTGAGGTGGAATTGTATAAAGCAATCGTAATCATTTGACAGTTCATAACGTACGATAAAGTCGGTTAAACAAAGCGTTTGACAGAATAATCGTACGTTATGAACTGTCAAATGATAACGATTGCTTTACACAATTCCACCTCTGGAAAAGGAGGCTGACAATAGTGACAGAGTATCTTGCGCTGCTGCTTCTCAGCACTGACCCATTTATTGTCCTAAAGCAGTGGTAGGGTTAAAGTAATACTAAGACGTGTAGAGTCGCTTTTTAAAAGTCTACTTGCAAAAAAGAGTCCTATTTAGTCTTTCTGTTCTTTTGCGGTTGCTATTTTAAAATAACTATCGCATCTGACTCAATATTCTTTGAAAATCTTAAAAATGGTATTAAAATTTTATAAATGCCTGTAGGTACCAGTGAATAGAGTTGTAGTTAATTAAATAAGGAGGTGAACACTCTCGTAAAACTACACCAAAAACTAATGCATGGCGTAAAATTATTACTTACCTAATTAAGTGATAACTGAGCAATTATTAAGATAACGATTAACGATGCCCCTAATTACGGGATAGCTACCGGGCTGAACCGTTTTGCATGCGTTGTCACTGTAATTAATGCATTTGTATTATTACAGAGGTTCGTTCGTTCGTTCGTTTCAGCCAAATGACGTCCACTGCTGGACAAAGGTTTTCCACAATGCACGGTCCTGCGCTGCCCGCATCCAGGCTCTTCCCGCGATCTTTACCAGATCGTCGGTCCACCTAGTAGGAGGCCTGCCCACGCTACGTCTTCCAGCCCGTGGTCGCCACTCGATAACTTATTACAGAGGTTATTGGTTGATGATTCTTACGGCAACTAAGCGGAACGATATTGAAAAGAAAGATAGATACATTAATCATTAGAAACTAAATAATCCGGCGAACTTTTTACCGACTATGTTCACCAGAAATAATGTAGGATTCTAATAGTTAAAGATTTTTTCAAATTGTTCCAGCAGTTTTCGGAATTTATACATTTGTATTCTTGTATTTACAAGATAACAAACAATAAAATCTTTCCTCTTTATACAATTAGTGAAGATAACTCTGGTAACTTTATATAAAACGCTCAAGCTATTTGTAGGTTATTACTTGTTTTGATCATTCCAAATAAGTAACTACTACAGACCTACCTACGGTCCCAAAAAAAAAACTATAAAAGTTTGATAATAACTTTTTCTCTACCAGCGCTACAAAACAATGATTCTATAATATTATTCCATTAATGCATAGTTTTATAATGACCCCAATTATTTTGCAATTTCAGTGACAGTCTTTGAATCAACCTCTTTAATATTTGTTATGAGGTAGTAAAACGTCTGAAGTATTTCTTAATCGATACCTACGTAGTACAGCAAAGACCCTGGTATTAAAGATAAATTGATTCGCCACCTCTTTGAGTTTTTCATTTATCTGTCAATTAAGTGCCCAGTAGTGCCTCAAATCACAGTTCAGGGCAGTTTCTGAGAACACCAACAGCCGAAAATAAACAAACACCCAACGTTTATGAATAAATCATCAAAATATTCGCGAAACAAAAAGCGAAGAGAGAGACGAGACTCCAACGAGAGCGAAAGAGATAACATTAACTAGATCCTCCGAGGTATAATTATGCTGTTAAGGTTATAATTTCACGTTGTTAAAAACGATGCGTGCGTCACATTATAACTTTTTGAGAATTTATATCAAAGATTAACACATTTTAATAGTTTATGTTTCCTGAATCATTTTTAATGACGTTTTTAAGAGTATTTACGATCAAGCTCAGAAGCTTGAGTCAATTAACTTATGAATTTCGAATTGGAATGCGAAATCTATCATAGAATTAATTGTAGTAAAAAAAATTTTCGACTAAGGTGACCATGGTTTGCATATTTTTTGAGGACACAGTGGACTAAAAAAGTTTTCAAAAAACACTAAAGCACTAAGTGCGTAATTAATATTATTCCTCCTACATTGTAAACGTACCCTAAGGCCACAGATGAACCACTCAAGCGTGATTTTATCTCACTCTATAATTAAAGGGTGAGTGTTTTATACTTTATTTATAATTTCTTAGAAGCTGTCTCAATCTATGGAGATATACATAGCACCAACTACCTGCCCGATACAACCTTTGATTATAGTATAAAAACCTCGTTAGAAAATGCCGACGGTTTTTTGCAGTATCCCAACCCATGTTCTACTAATCGCTTTATGACATTTGATGGTTTAATGAACTAGTTTTTTTTTCTTTTAACGCCGTCTCACTTCGGGTGTTCATTGGAGCAGCTCATTATTGCAGACAGATAAATTTGATAGTGTTTTTGTTTGCATGTTTTATAATGACATTTAACAGTCCAGACACAAAGGCGGATAACAATTTTATTAAATATTTTATAACGCCTCCGGTGAATTTTAGTCGTAAAAATATCTACGCGATTACAAATTCACGTCGTAATGCCTTCATCTCGCCGCACATTCGAATAACAACCAAACACATAATTTACTCGCATCTCATTAGTACACGCCGCTACAAATTCCCGGCAAAGACGCCGCCCCAACAAAGCCATTGACATTCATATTTTAACTCCAAACGTGACCACGAAACCACTAGACTCCTCGATACTAATTTAACGCCCAATCGGTTCTGATAAAAATTAATACATCAATCCCAAATCGCCCGATATAAGCGTAACGAGCAAAAAGCGACCCAATCGAACGCGCCGACCGCCCGATTATTCAAGTATTCGAAAAAAGAACATAAAGACAGTTTTCGGGTGAGGTTCTTGCGGACGGTTACAGAAATGTCGTTAGGGTGACCATCGCGGTCCGGTGGAATTCGAAGCGGGCCGACTTATTGGGCATAAGTCCGATCGATGATAGGTATTTTTTCGTTTTTTTTTTCGTTGCAACATTGGCGACGGTTCTCACAATGGATGAAGACATAAAAATTTCGTTCGGACTGCAGCGCGGCGCGTCAAAACGGACCACATACGATATTTTCCGTAGGAAGCGGTCGGATTTTTCTTGTTTGGGTTGGTTATTCGGCAAATTGGAGATCGCTCACGCCTTTAATATTAGCCTATTATTTCGGGCGAAATGACCGCCTCGGTCGGCGAGGAGCGTGATCAACAAATCAAACCGTTTTGCCTTTTTTCGGTTCGGACCTATAGTGTTTGTTTTCAAGCGTATTATATGTGATTATTTAGGAAATTCGGTCGAAATGACGCCCAGCCGTGGGGAGGCTTGATTAAGATGATTAATAGCCCAAAACTATAAGGTTGGGTGAGGTTTCTGATGGAATTCAATTAGGTTTTATGATTTCATCCCGCGACGGGCGATGCTATTGTATGGAAATAATCTTGTATTTTTTAGTTATCTTTCAACACCGTATCATATTGTACGACGTGATTTAAGCAAAATCACATAATCTGTTGCTTGGTTGTTTTGATGACAGCTTGTATTAGACCAAATTTACGACTTCATCAAAATGTTACAGCTTAAAAACGACACATAAATTACGTTAACAAAATGCGGGTGGCAACTAGGCACTCATTTAATCTATCATGCCATCAAGCTAAATCATCGTGGAACTTCGTGAATTCCAGCACCGCAAAAAGGTAAAAATGTAAAATGGCAGACTCAATCCGCACTGCAACATTGTCGCTAGTGGGGTGTCCAACTTTGAAATCTAAGTTTAGTTTCAACAATCCGTTCTCGAGAATAAGCTCGTAAAAGACATCTGTGGCTATTATTAATCTGTGTTGGCGTTAAGTGGACACTTTATTTTCCAGTTGTCCAACTTGGTGACGTCTCAATCTGCAGTTATTGCGCTAGGGTGACCATACGTTAAGATTTATGACGTTAACGACATTAATACACGCCACGCCTATTATGTTGTGATTGGTGTATAACATGTTTGTTTTTTAGGCGTTTGCAAGCCTTTTCTGATTACATGCATTTTTATTAATACAACTTGCAAATATTTTAATGGTGTGTTTATACGATATATTTTAAACGTGTAATAACGTCAAGTGTGTGTGCCTACTTTAAATGCATAGCTTTTTAGTTTATTAAAATTATTCCTAACTTTTAAGTAAACAATTTAAACATTCCTTCTTATAGTCCTTTTTGACAAAGATCTGTTTTGGAATGCGTAATGTTATTGTGATGTTATTTTCTGACGTTTCGGTATGCTACAAAAGAATGGCTTACGGAATCGCATTTGCATGATAATGTTGTATGTTTTAAAGTATTTAAAGTGTCTAATGGTTTCTTTTGTTTCAGGACTAGAGTACTTAAGTGCTGCGAGGAGTTTACACCCGGAGCTTCATGCTGGTAGCACGCTCGCCAGCCAAGACTTCCAGCTTAGTTTAGAAGGTAATTATGCATACAGTTTTAACATACAAAGAGGGTTTATTAATAACCCTTACTTTTGTCGCACATTCGAATAAACAAACAATAACCTGGCTAGATTGAAATTGGGACCCATAATAATCTAATGAGTATGGAATAGTGACACATTTTTTCTTAATTGTGTGCGGTCGTTTAATAACGTAGCTATAATTGTTAAATTTTTTACTTAACAAAGTTACACCAAACGTGGGTTTTGCAGTTGTTTAATGTTACTTATTAATGCAAGCATTATTTGTAATTATTATGTTATAAAAGTAATTACCTAAGATTTAATTAGTAAAACTTACTTTATGCTCCGTAAATTTTGTAATACCTTTTTTGCTGTCTCAATAAGTAAGTAATGCTTTAATTTAACATTGAAGTTACTAACTGGAAACTTATAGTACCTCCTTCATGCAACAATAAATCTTTATCTCCAGCGAAATTGGATGATAAAAAATCTATTCTATGGAGCTCATCCTTGATTTTTTTAAGACTGTCCACAAAAGTTAGAAATTGTGTGCAATCTAAGCTTAAACTTTAGTGACACTTCACTGTTAAATAGACTCAGCAAATTAAGTATTTATTTTATGCTCAATGGCCTGACCATAGCTGACTAACAGTTTTTAACTGCGTGTGAGTGTGGGACAACATGTGAAGATAAATAAATATTTAAACAATAAGTTTGACAAGCTGTATTGTCGACACAAATGAATAAGTTATTGCATGAAGGCTCCATCTACGGCCCAGAACAAACGGTGAAACGCAACTGCAACGAAACTACAACTGCTAGTTACTTTTGAGTTGCATCTAAGTTTCTGCCATAGCATCCGTTGAGAGACCACACATGACGCGACCAGTTTGAAACTTTCAGTTTCAGTTTCATTCATCAGAATCATCAGAAAGTTGCAGTTTCGTTGCAGTTGCGTTTCACCGTCTGTTCTGGGCCTAAGACCTCAGTTATTTACATACATGAAAGAACAAATCGTTGTCTACGGTAATATAAGATGACACAGTCGTTTAGTTTGATGTGTTGTCGTCTTTACTACGCGTGTACAGTCAGCATCAAATAGTTCGTGACACTCAGAGCAGCCAATAAGTAACCCTAACCCACGTCTTTGTTACAAACTATTTAACTGACTGTACCTAAAACCTATTTCTACCTTTTTTTGGAACCGTATCGTATTTTTCTGCACCGCTATGTCCTGACAGTCTTGGATCAAAACCTAACTAATATAGATTTAAGCTGCATATTGGTAATATTGTAGTCCGCTAATAAACCTCTTTGTATCATTTCCAGGATCTAGAATAGCCTCCCCAACCCGTCTCAGGCTGTCCGGCGGTGCTATTGGTGCATCAGCCAACCGCAAGAGGGCGGTGTCTTGGAGCCCGTACTCCGCGGAGTCGTTAGACCTGGCTGCTGTCATCAGAGCCTCTCCCGCCAGTCTGGCGGTGAGAGCGCCATCTGCTGCATCCACTGGGAGCTATGGACATCTTAGTGCAGGTGATTAGGAACTCCTTATGGCTAATAAGAATTGCTTTCGAACCTCTAGTAGACATGATACCATCCTAGCTTATCTGCTACTGGTGATACCTACTTTAAACTTTATTCATTGTAGCCGAAATCGATAGTGCCAAATGTAAAAACACTAGATAATGACAAGTAGGAATTAATTCAATTTAAAGGTACGAGTCCTAACTCAACCGTCAAATACCCACTGTTTATCGAAGATTCAGGGAAAGATTCACACCGTGTGGTGAGCAGCAGCATAAACGATGGTTTAAGCTGCTGCTGGACTTATAACTCTCTCCTTTTGATAACTAGCAGTCTATCTAACAGGCTTTATACCTAATCAGCTTATCTCTCCTTTTCTTCTTCTCCATCAAACTTGGCAAGACGACGTGGTGGATGGTACCTACCCTACTTTTCTAGTGCCTAAGGTGGGAATCAAAACCGCGGCCTTTCGCTTGCCGGGCGACTGTTCTTCCATTATTTTAGTGAAAAAAAGTATTTAGTAGCAATTTTTGTGTTATAAAACTGAACTACAGGACGCTTAAATCTGCTTATCTCTTCTTTTCTTCTTCTCTATCAAACTTGGCAAGACGACGTGGTGGACGGTACCTACCCTACTTTTCTAGAAAACCTCAATAATAAAACCAACCTTCTCCCTTCCAGGTGCGATATCGCCCGCGCTATCTCTCTCCCACGCGTCTCTCGCACAGCAACTCCTCGCTCGAGGGGGTGTGGTGGGGGGCAGCGGGGTGCTAGCGGGCGGGGTGCTCATGGACCCTGCGCATCAGCAGGCGGCAGCGGCGGCGGCGCACCATGCGGCGCACGCGCATCTGGTCGCTGGTATTCATAGGTGAGTATGAAGTGGTGGAACTTTGGTGGAGTCAAGAATAGAAAGCGTATGAAGATTTTAAATAATATAATTGCACGAAAGATAGACAACATCAGTGGTGTGTATTTGGTTGCCGTAATCGTAGGTATAAGTATTTTTTTCAATCGAACTCAGAATTTCAAGATAGACTCATTCCTCCTACGTCCAATGGTAGTAAATATACCATTTAGTTATGTTAAGCAATGAGCAGGCTTCCCATTAAGTAGACCGATGATCTGTTGAAGGTCACAGAAACTACCTGGATACGAGCAGCGCAGGACCGATTGTTATAGAAATCCTTAAGAGAGACCTTTGTCGCGAATATTTTACATGCGCATTTACCTAAGATTAACCAAATCCACTCTATCATTAAATTCATCACTTCATCTACTTCTCACCAGATCTCACATCTCATCGCCGACGCAGCTGCTCATAGGCGCGCCAGTTGACGTCAGACCAGGCCTGGGGTTAGACGGCACCCCTCCACAACATATGCAGCAACCACCCCAGCAGCCTGAGGTCACCAGCATCATGGAAGCTGACAGGTACAACAATATGACTCTCCTCTCTAGGCTCCCGACTAGGTGGACTGACGATCTGGTGAAGGTCGCGGGAGGTGCCTGGAAGCGGGCAGCGTTGTGAAAATCCTTGGGGCCTTTGCCCAGCAGTAGACGTCATTTGGCTGAAACGACGACGACATCTCTATTTCCCCAACACTGTCCGTATAGCCAGGATCTACCTCCAAGTCCAGGAGGATAGTTACTGACTTGAAACCCTGAAAAACCTTGGGAACTGATAGATAGGTGTAATGTTCTCACTATTCAGGCCTCCCACTCGGTGGTCTGATGACCTGGCGAAGGACGTCCTTAGGAAGGCTAGCCTATGATATCTAATCGGGTAAAATGTTATAACTTGCTAGGTAACATACTCGTAGCTGTAGATAATAGTGCAGAATAATCAGGCCTACCTTCTCGTATACACAACTGCAAAAAAAAAAAATCTTATAGCTCATTCCCACAGAAAGAAAGTTAAAAATTACGCTGATGTAGGTAGGAACTGTCACAGACATCAATTGAGTCATGAATGACCGCAATCAATCATAGTTGACGTCGCACGCTGATGCGATGTGGCTGCGCCTGCTAATGACATTCTGCAGACAAGATTGCGGGTCAGGGTACCCCAAACAAAGAGTCGAACTACTGGGGTGACAAATTGCATTGACTGTTGAAGACTAGGGTAAAAAAAGTACTTTTGCACAAATAATCTGTTGAAAATTATCAAGAAATTGTCGTAAATATAGATCGCCCAATATAATGCTAAACCTATAGTAATTATGTCTCCTTTTCTATAAGCATACAGGACATTGCATCTAATTGTAACCTAAACCATAATATAACTGTAGCGAATAAATCAAACGCTAAATATTAAACTAACTCTACAAACAAGATGTAAGATACAATTGGCCTTCATTACATTGTATTGCACTGAACTAGACAATTGAATTGTACCGTACTAAGTAGTGTGTTTGATTTGTCACTTCAACATCAGTCAATGTCCAAACACTGTTCTAACAAGGTCTGTTATAATCCCCGGTTTTTCTCCTGCCAGACAGAAGCCAGTATAATCAGACATACTTTTTTGGAAAAACTATCTTATCGCAACTGAATAAGACGCCAGATTGATTAGCTTAAGGTGTTTTTGTCAGTAGGTATCTACTTTGCTGCTTCATACCGTAGAATGCACCACACTGCGCTTACCAAGAAAAGCCCCTGAAAACTTAAAAAGCTAATAACCACTTTTATTTTTTAGTGCGTCAACGATAACGCAACGAAAGTCACCCCAGAGCCTGATGTCTCATCGAGACAACATGCACAGCAACAAGCCTTTGTCAGCGGCCGCCGAGAGCACTGTCCACGACGGTCTGGACTCCAAGGATGAGCCTGGAGACTTTATTGAGACCAACTGTCATTGGGTAAGTGCTGCAAGCTGTAGATGCTGATTCATGTATTTTACGTAAAAAGTTACGTAATTTTGTTAATGTTAATAAATCTTCTAGATCGTCATAATATTTACTTCCAATTTTGGAATCATTACCTTTTTGCCACAAGTCCATAGTCAATTTTCATCCTCCTCAATCAATAGGATGGAAACTGGTAGTTTTCATATCGTATACCCATTTCTTTCTTGCAATCCTTTTATTTATTTATAGAAACCAACAGCGATACATTGAAAATGGTTTTTTGAAATTGAAATCCTTTTCTGGAATAGTACCATAGTGTTATTGATCTCTCATAAAGACTGTATTCCTTTTAGGTGGACTGCAAACTTGAGTTCCCGACACAGGATGACTTAGTAAAACACATCAACACGGACCACATCCACGCCAGCAAGAAGGCCTTTGTATGCCGATGGGTAGGCTGTTCCAGAGATGAGAAACCCTTCAAGGCTCAATACATGCTGGTGGTACATATGAGGAGGCACACGGGGGAGAAACCTCATAAGTGTACTGTGAGTATAATAGAAGTATTTTTGATGATAAGAATTATTATTCTATTCAACGCATTCTCCCAATGACAATTTTCTCCCTGGGACAAACTTGACCTGTAAAAACCCTACCAGTGAGGTTTTTATTGGCAATCAAGCTGTAGATACACAGATTCTAAAGTTACTGTTTATAAATCATTCATCAGTCATCATCGTCATCAACGACCACTTGGATATTTCAGTCGTACTGCTTAACATTTTGATTTCACTTCCATCGCTGAATCTGGTTTTTTTACATACAGAAATTTTTCAACTGTTTTATTTTGATTTCTCTTTTTCTTTCAGTTCGAGGGTTGTTGCAAAGCCTACTCCCGATTGGAAAACCTAAAGACCCATCTCCGAAGTCATACGGGCGAGAAACCTTACACCTGCGAATACCCTGGATGCGCCAAGGCCTTCTCCAACGCTAGTGATCGAGCTAAGCACCAGAATCGGACGCATAGTAATGAGGTAAGCCAGTGAATTAGGATCCCCACTAGGTGGACCGACGATCTGCTTGAGGCCTTTGTCCAGCAGTGGACGTCATTTTGGCTGAAAGGAACGAAGCTAATGAATACTATCGAGTGCATTTACTTCCTCGATTCTTGTATTATGTGACTTTAGAACATTTTGTAATGTTTTCAACATCGCTCTTAGTGTTTTTTGGATAATAATAGACGCCATTGTAGTAGAAGTAGCTTACAAGAACTAGAAAACGATTATTATGTATTTAATACATTTTAGCTTACATAGATGATGTCATCTCTTTTACAGAAACCATATGTGTGCAAAGCGCCCGGTTGTACCAAGAGGTACACTGATCCTTCATCCCTTCGGAAGCACGTGAAAACCGTCCATGGTGCTGAGTTCTATGCCAGTAAGAAACACAAAGGTGAGGTCTTCTTTCGTTTTGTCTTGAAAAAATGCCTTAAGCAGTTAGATTTTTTCAAGTTATTTATAATTTTCAAATTAGTTTGAGATGCATCTCTTAATGCTAAATTAAATAACTAAAACGCTATTTCTCATAGTTTAAGCATGCAATTTCACAGCAAATAAATAAAAATACCGGGTATTTCAAACATCGTTAAATGTTGTTTTTATTGTTTCTTCAAATCAGTGGTAGGGTCCGAGTTATTCTGAGACGTGTAAAAAAAGCACTTCATAAAAACATATTCGCGGAAAATAAATAAACTTTTTAATTTCTGATTAGTAACTAATCCTCATCAATATCAAATAAGATAGCTAACCAAATCCTTTTTTCCTCAGGCTGCAGCCGCGGAGACGACTCCGCAGAATCAGGGGGCGGGGGGGCTGGCTCCTCCCCGCGATCAGAAGAGGGGGGCATGCCCCCCGGCGCGAGGGGACACACGTCCTCCGCGTCGGTCAAGAGCGAGAGCCCTGCTTCGCCGCTGCCTCTGGCGTTGCACACTCCTGCGCATCAGGTATGCTGGAACAACATGAGGCTTTATGTAAGACCAATACGTTTGAATTACAATGATTTTTGCTGCTTTTTTTCTTCGGATCCCAACTAATATTATAAATGCGAAAGTAACTCTGTCTGTCTGTCTGTCTGTCTGTCTGTCTGTCTGTCTGTCTGTCTGTCTGTTACGCTTTCCCGCTTAAACCTCGCAACCGATTTTGATGAAATTTGGCATAGAGATAGTTTGAGTCCCGGGAAAGAACATAGGATAGTTTTTATCCCGGTTTTTGAAACAGGGACGCGCGCGATAAAGTTTTTCTGTGACAGACAAAATTCCACGCGGGCGAAGCCGCGGGCGGAAAGCTAGTTTAATGATATTTTTAACCGTTCTTTATTTTGAATTTCTGACAATTAGTATTTTAGAGCCACATAACTTTAAATGAATCTTTACCGGGATCTAAGTAATTTCCAAAGATGTTTTGTATTGTTGATGAAGATGGCTGTATTGAATGTAATTATTGAAACATGAATATGATGGTAGTTTTGCTGTTCTACTCCATATTTATTAATAAAAGACTTTCAATAAATGTTGCTTTAAATGGTAAGTGTAGAGTCTATTTAATAATTATGGTTTTGTCGTTTCAGCTTTCAGCTCAATGTGGTGGAGAACTGGACTTTGGCGGTTCTGGTCTCGGTGGATTTAGTGATGAAAATGGCGCCCCTTACTTCAGATTAGATGGAGAGGTTTGTACCTTTGAGATTTTAATAATACACTTTAACATCATCAGGAAAGTCTTAAATTAAACTTCGAAGCGATTCTAGATCATATTTTCATTATGTTAAGATCTCATGACGAAATACTAAGGCTGAGTTGGACCATCTTACTTTAACTTTATCAAACGCCAGAAATCTGTTAAACTCCATACAAAACACACCGGTTATCGTTATAATTATGGTTAAAGCTAGGTAGTGCAAGTAGTGAAACTCAGCCTTAGTGATGGTCCTAACGGAATAGTTATAAACCATGCGTATGACATTTAAGTACGCTATCGATTACCAGTAGATCAATAGTTGCAATTAGGTTTTTCTTGTTTTTTGTATGACCTACTTAATATAATGAAATCTCTCATTTTTATTTTAAACCTACTAGAAGTAGTTCTTTTCATATTGTGCCTTTGAATCTAATTCTTATTTCTCTAACTTAATCCCTTCCTTTTTCTCCAGGTGGAACAAGAAGTAGTGGGTGAAGTGGGCCAGCTACCGCTGATGTTGCGAGCGATGGTGGCGATAGGGGAGCCGCGGACGCACCACCACACCCCCCGGTTTGGGAACAACAAGATGGGGGTGGGGAGGCTGATGCCGCCTGCGCATGTCGGCGATATTGGTGGGGGTAAGTGACACCCACTTGTACAAAACTTAGTCATAAAGCGAGGGGGATGTACCCGGTGTTTTTTCACGAGATCAAACCAGAAGAAGAGATCCGAAATAAAGTCGCTACCGTATGTTGTACACAATCAATGTTGATCAGAAATGTTTAGAGTACTTCTTAAGACGATACCCATACATGTCCCACCCATGTATGTATACAGGCACTCGTGTTGAGTGATCTTAGAAATTGTAAACCACTTAAAATTTTGATTGGGTCCTAACATCTTAAAGTACTATCAACAGTGTTAACTGCCCATTGCCAGTCATGTCGTCTCGTTTTATCGCAAAGAATCACCATTTGATGAGAGCGAGAGCAAAAACGGAAATGGATAGTTAACACTGTGGCCGTGGCCCGTGTGTAGATAGATAGATACCAATAATATATTTATTTCTATCAATTTTGCTATAACTAAACTGACAATTTGTTTTTCAGGTGGAGTGCCAGGCCGGACGGAATTAGGCAACACTAACGTAGCGGTGGAACTCAAAACTGGGCTTCCGAATACAAGAAGAGACTCGGGAATTTCTTCCGGGAGCAGCCTTTACAGTGCCAGGTAAGAACAAAACTGTTATCCAGTCTATTACAGCTGGAAATGGTCAATCTCAATGGACACTCAACTAATAAAAAAAATGCTGATGACAGAGCTAGCTTAGTAATAGTCTTCAGGCTCATAAAGCTTTAAACTTGTACATCTACAAGACTGGACTACTAAAACTAGACACCTTTGCACCCTTTTTTCATCTGTCCTTACGACTCTAACGCCCGTTTTCACCATCAATAAAATAAGTGACCCATATGAAAACAAAATTCCTGTTATATATTACCATATGAATCACAAAAAAAAATTAGGGATTGATGGTGAAAACGGGCATGAGAGTTTATGACTATAGTATTACCAGGCAGCAAAGTTAATGCAGTTACATCTTAGCATCATCAGGTCCATTGGTTTCCACTGGAGCATGACCCTCTCTAATTTCCTAGAGGCATATGCCTCCAGATTGTCTATTAGAGTCCTCAATATTGAGGACTTGGCATTTTCTCCTCATCTACAACCATCTAAATTAGTCGTTCCCAAAGTGGGCGATAACGCCCCCTTGTGGGCGCTGCAGGCTTAAAGGGGGGCGGTAAGAGACCCAGAAAAAAAATTAGGACGTTGTGTAGAGGCTTGGGAGGCGTCATCTACGAGGATGACTCTTAGACATCGACTGAGCTCGACTCTTGACTACAAAAATGGGGGGCGCTAAAAAATAATTTATTCTCAAAGTGGGCAGTAGACTAAATAAGTTTGGTAACCACTGATCTAAATCATTTAAATTGTTCAACTGCAGNATTTAATAAACCTACTAGTAGGTCTTTTCATATTTCTCTAACTTTATTCCATCAATCTTTGTCCTCAGGTGGAACAAGAAGTAGTGGGTGAAGTGGGCCAGCTACCTCTGATGTTGCGAGCGATGGTGGCGATAGGGGAGCCGCGGGCGCATCACCACACCCCCCGGTTTGGGAACAACAAGATGGGGGTGGGGAGGCTGATGCCGCCTGCGCATGCCGGCGATATTGGTGGGGGTAAGTGACACCCACTTGTACAAAACTTAGTCATAAAGCGAGGGGGATATGCCCGGTGTTTTTTCACGAGATCAAACCAGAAGAAGAGATCCGAAACGAAGTCGCTACCTTATGTTGTACACAATCAATGTTGAGAAAAATGTTTAGAGTATTTCTTAAGATGATACCCATACATGTCATAATATACAGGCACTCGTGTTGAGTGATCTTAGAAATTGTTAACTACTTAAAAAAATATTGGATCCTATCATATTTAAGTACCTACTATGTATCGGCAACAGTGTTAACTGCCCATTGCCAGTCATGTCGTCTCGTTCTATCGCAAAGAATCACCATTTGATGAGGGCGAGAGCAAAAACGGAAATTGATAGTTAACACTGTGGCCGTGGCCCATGTGTAGATAGATAGATACCAATAATATATTTATCTCTATCAATTTTGTTATAACTAAATTGCCAATTTTGTTTATCAGGTGGAGTGCCAGGCAGGACGGAATTAGGCAACACTAACGTAGCGGTCGAACTCAAAACTGGTCTCCCGAATACAAGGAGAGACTCGGGAATTTCTTCGGGGAGCAGCCTTTATAGTGCCAGGTAAGAAAATGACCAATGTTCAGAAATAGTGGGTGAATAATTAAAAAAAAAATGCTGATGACAGAGTTAGGTAGCGATAATACTCATCATGCTCTAGTCAACTTTATACCCTGTCTATAGAAGACGAAAATTTACCATTATGATGTTTCTAAAAAAGTCTAGAAGAGATCCATGACATTATTGAATCACCCTTATTTCAAGTACCTATCTTTACCACCGTGTTACCACCACGGTGATTCAACTGACAGCAAAGTTTATGCAACTGCCATCTCATCATCATCAGGTCCTTTGGTCTCCACTAGAACATGATCCTCTAATTTACCAGAAGCAAATTGAGCCTCTAATTTTGGTATATGGACAGTATTTATTATGCCAAAACCTCATTAATAGAGGATCCATCCTACTTACTATAATATTATAAATGCGAAAGTTTGTGTGGATGTCTGGATGTCAGGATGTCTGGATGTTTGTTACTCTTTCACGCAAAAACCACTGAACGGATTTTGTTGAAACTTTACAGTATTATTGTTTACAACTCAGATTAACATATAGGCTATAATTTATGACGATTTGTGACAAACTTAGTTCAAACCGGGTCAAGCTCAAAAGCTAGTAATATCATAATCCATCTATAACTATTTATAAATTCCAACTGTGACACTGCAGGTCGTCTGACATCTCCCGCAAGAGCAGCCAAGCGTCAGTTGTGTCGGGCGCGGTGGCGGCGCCGCAGCGCGTCGTGGCGCAACACAATGCGGTCTACGACCAGCTCTCGCCTGATAGCAGTCGAAGGTGAGATCTTCTACTACTTCTGAACATTTATTTTCAACTACTGATCTCTAATACTGAACTGGAATTCCAGAACGATTTCTGAACTTATTTTGACAGATTTGGTTCGGACGCAGTATTAGAAACACCATAAGCACATAAGCTCAGATTTGTTAGGATGCATCCTAACAAAATATGAGAATGTCTGACCATCTGGGTCAGAAGTTACCAACACTTGCCTTCCCCTTTTATCTCAAACAACTGTGTCAGTTCAGCCCCCCAGTGGCTTGTCTGGTAAAGACTGCTTCGGCAAGCGAAGCGTTAGGACGTCCACTCACAAGGTAGTCCTGTGGTTGAAAAATGATAATGATAAGCGATTACAGGAACTTCGGGCCAATATTCTATAATTGGCGAATCTAATCAAGATCTCCTTGGGGCCGCGTAAAGAAAACTTAAGATTTTCTCATCTCTAATGTTTTTGCAAATAGTTATTTTAAATTAAATCCTTAAATCTATGTTTATTCCAGATCTAGTCAAGTTTCGTGCGTGGGGTATGCGCCGGCGCCGTCGTCCGCGCTCGCCGCCGTCCAGGCTGTCAGGACCTCTCAAGGGAACCAGGTAATTTGACATACTTTATGTAAACTACTTTGATTTTCCTCGTAATTGATAGCTGTGAAGAGTAGCAGTTCCTGTATTTCTCTTGCATAATAAGATGCAGCCTACGGAATTCTAGCCTATGAGCTATTTTGATTTCATATTTTTTCATCCTCTGCATCTCCATCTGCTTGTAATCTATTGAGGGTACGTCATTATGGACGACTTGCAATATCAACGCTCTCCAGGCTGTTATAGACTGTGATGGTAGGTGTCTCCACCATTATTTCAGTGAACATTTTTTACATAGAGTGCTTTATATTATGTATTCCTTATAACGTAAAAAGTCTACTATGAAAGAGTACATCGTTTCTTTTCTTGTCCTGTTGCTAGTAGTAGCTTATCATCGTCGTTAATCAAAGTTAGTTTTTGCCACAGGCTGTCTTGCTCCGCGGCGTGACCTGCTCTGAAGTGAGGGCCGAGGAGTTGGCCCTGGAGCTGGACCCCAATGTCCAGGTGAAGGAAGAAGCCAGGAGGCTCTCGGAGCAGTCCAACCTCAGCGACCCGGCGCAGGCATACCAGCCCTACCCGTGTGGAGCTGATGATGTGGTGAGTTACGGTCACATTTTTTTTAAAGGTCTTTATCACAGTTGAAACTCTGTTTCACTGTTTTTTGTTTGACATGCTATTTTTGGGGCAGCCTGTATATCCCTATACAATAGTTTCTATACAATGGTTTCTTGTAGGAAACTTGGACTCAGATCACTGAAACCTCATCCATTTCGTTGGATCATCATCATCATCATCATCATCTCAGCCATAGGACGTCCACTCCTGGACATAGGCCTCCCCCAATGCTTTGCATGTTGCCCGGTCGGTAGCGGCTTGCGTCCAGCGCCTTCCTGCTACCTTTATGATGTGGTCGGCCCACCTGGTGGACTTCACATGCTGCGTTGGATCCGCTAAATCACCTTACAGTAGCTGAGTGTTTTTGGCAGTCATGCCTTAAATTTTAGCTATTTAGCAACATTTGCAACGAGAAGTGGGAATTGTCTTCTTCCAGAATCGATACCATGAGTTTGAAGGTCCAGTAGTTTCGGAGCCTAATCAATCTTTCCTCCCTAAAATATTAGTGTAGATAACACTTATGTAGGTACATATGCACATGTACTAACTATTGTAATCATTTTCCAGGGCGACGCCGCGTTCCCGTTCAAAACCGAAGACGACCACGACACCGTCACGTACAAGGACTCCCGGTCCAACTCCACCGCCACCGTGGTCATCACCACCGCCCAGGTCCACCATCCCAACCAAGAAGTTAACTTGGAACAGGTAAGGATCATCACTAATGCTGGTCTATGTTTGGTGGTCGCTTCTCTAGCCAGGTCTAAAGATTGTCACGAACAATGGTCAGTAGATTGTGGTAGTAAGTGTTCTGTTAATAAATATAATATTATCTCAAAGATCCGAGAGTTTAATTTCTGGTGACAAACAGCTAACGGCTCTAGATTATAGACATTTCTGGAATATTTATTATTTACCTATACTTGTCTCTTTCTACTAGATTTATAGCACGTACTTTCAAAATTCCATCCATTTATTTGGTTTAGGCTGAATTCCTGTCATAGACTTATTACTGAATTTTACCATAGCAAATTCTTTTCAGGTTGCAGAAGGTGAAATGGTGGAAAACAAGCTGGTGATCCCAGACGAAATGATGCAATATCTTAACCAATCAATATTGGCAACCGAATCGGCGGCACCAGCTCAGACCGACTCCACCAAAGCGCCTGAAGAAACCAGTCAGGATAGCGATGCCACCAAAGACAATGACGCCCAAAACGCGAACAACACCAGTGACAAAATCAGTGACGTAGCCACCAGTGACGATTCTCTACTCAAAAACCTAGGTGCCATAGGAAGTGATCTCAATATCAGTGATATCCCAGTCGATTTAAGGTCTTTAGACGTTAGCATGTCGGGCAACAGCGGCTCTCTCCTAGCTACAAAGTCCCCGGATGACAAGAACCCCCTTCAAGAGCAAATCATACCTGAAGTACCAAATGAGAAGTGTGAACAGGAATACACCAAACCCGTGACCAGTCACATCAACACGAATAATCCGTTACAGTCACTGCAGACGATGGCGGCGAATCAGACGGAGCAGTCGAACCGTATGAGGATGAACGCTCTACCTCAAAAACAAACTTCAATAAGCCCAAAGACTATGGTGACCACCCCTCAAAATGTGCTGAGTCCACAGAACATAGCTCATAGCATGTTGAGTCCGCAAAGTCTGCCGCATAGTGCGATGAGTCCTCAAAGTGTTATGAGCCCTCATCATATTCCTCACAACGTCATGAGCCCACCGAGCGTGTATAATGTCATGAGTCCTCAAAGCGTCATGAGTGTCATGTCTCCTCAACACAATGCTATGAGCCCCCAAAGTATGCAGAGCATGATGAGCCCTCAAATGTCTAACCAAATGATGATGAGTCCACGCCACAATAACATGGGCAGCCCTATGTCCCAGAACATGGGAGGACAGATGGTCAATATGGCAAGTCCGATGGCGCAAAACATAGCAAGTCCTATGAGCCATGGCATGCCGAGCCCGATGCATCCAGGACTGCAGAGCCCCATGTCACAAGGAGTACCCAGTCCCATGGTACAAAACATGTCGAATATGACGATGAATTCTCCGGGGCAAAACCAGAATCAAAACGTAATGATGAACATGAACCAACAGCAGCAAATGCAGCAGATACCAGGAAACTACATAAACAATCGACAAAATTGCAACCCCAAGATGCCCAATAGAACCAACGTCCCTAATCAGTATCAGAACCACAACTACAATCAAGCCCCGCCGTACCCGATGCAGAATCAACAGAATATGAACAGGAGTCAGAATATGCAACAGTATCCGATGATGCAGCAGTACAATCAAAACCAAATGATGCATCAGATGCCACCGAATCAGCCAAATATGGTTTACAATAACCAGATGATGAACTATCAGCAACCTATGAACTATCCAAACCAAAGCAACCAGATGCATCCCATGCAAATGTCGAGGTCCTCGATGATGAGTGTGGACAACAGCGGGAACATGAGTCGAGGGGCGATGAACAGTTACTGTGAACCGCAGAATCCTCAGTACAACCAAAACATGCACTACCCACAACCGCCTCCTTACAATTCTGTTGTAAACGCTGCAAATGTCATGGGTCCTCCGCCTCCTAAAAATAATCACCAATACAACCAAGCGATGATGAACAACAACCAATATTATAATCACCAGCGGCCGTATAACCAGTGGGACTATCCTGGTAATCAGTTCAACAAGCATAACGTGCAAAAATCGGTTCAGAACTCTGTGAACATGTCGACTGGAAGTCAAAAGCCTAACGGGGTCAGAGCATCGATGAATTGCAACCAGATGATCAAGAATATGGGGGAGCAGCAGCAGACTGATTGTAGTATGAACAGTTTGAGGAGCCAAAACAATCAGCCCAGCGATGTCCAGGTCTGGGACATCTCCCAATCGCAGATTGAAGCTAATAACGGTAGGAAGAAGAACCAAAATGGCATGAGACAAGAAACCTACCAACGGACTTTGGAGTACGTGGAAAGTTGTGAGAACTGGAAGAGTTCAGAAATGGTTTCCAGCAGCACCCACCCTTTACAAGGTGGCGACAACATGGTTGTGAACGATCTCCAGACATCGTTGTCTTCGTTTTATGAAGAAAACCAATACCTCCAAATGATTCAATAGATTGTAGTTTTGGTAACTTTTCGGCAACTGATGGTGCAAATAGAAATAATGGTTGTATAAATCTCTCGTGGAGACTGACTAATTTTAAAATTATTCTAAATTTATATCGATTAAAAAGTACATTAGCTCTAAAAGTTATTTTTAAAAGACATACACGCAACCTTTTTTGAATATTGTAAATATTGTTCAACGTCTTCCACTGTTGGTTTAAGTACAATATTTTATCATTTACTTACGCATTTATATTACTATAGGTAAGATTTAGTATGTGCCTTCAATGTACATTTGTACATAATATTTTAAGATTTAAACTATTGTCAACGAATGAATTTCTCAATGTGCCTGTAACCAGATTTTTAATATTGACTTGAAAACTTGTTAGTACTACACTGTAGAAACATTNAAAATATTTTTATCTACGACATTATTATGCTAAGTGCGCCTTCGAGATTATTAGGTAGATAAACAAAATTGTACAAATAGACATTTTCTAGAATTTTTACAGTGTTGTTAAAGTTTTTAGTTATAATGATTGACTTATGAATATTATTATATCGAATAGTGTGTATACTTAAAGCAATATCATAGTTTCAAAACTTCTGAAGACAGAATCTCCTAGCTTAAATTTTATATTGAGATTACTAGTTTATAAGTAATTGTTAATTATTTTTTATTTAATTACGATAAATGTCGACGCACAAATAATTGTAATAGAACAAGGAATTTGTATTTTGTAATAAATTATTGTTTTTACTGTTTGTAAAAGAATGATTGTAGACATCTGTGACAATATTTTAATGAAATTATCAAATAAAACTCACCTATCATGAATCAAAGGTATTTTAAATTATTTCCCCTTTTCAAGTAGTTTCTACTAAAATTAACACTTAAGTAAATATTGTGCGAAGCTTCCCGAACGCTGCCCATCCGAGTTGGATTCGACGATTGACCTCTTTCTCGAAGTTGGACCTACCTAACTGGACTGTTTGTCCCAGGTATACATAATTGTCGACAACTTCGAGTGTAGAGTCTCCAACCTTCAGAGGAGTGGGTGCAACACGGACATTAGACATGATTTTTGTCTTGTCCATGTTCGGTCAGCGTTCGGGAAGCTTCGCCATATACTCATGTCCGAAATACCGCAGTGTCTCAAGACGAAAGTCTTCGAGCAGTGTGTGTTGCCAGTGTTGACATATGGATCCGAAACGTGGTCGCTTACTATGGGCCTCATAAGAAGGCTCAAGGTCACCCAAAGGGCGATGGAGCGGGCTATGCTCGGAGTTTCCCTGCGTGATCGAATCAGAAATGAGGAGATCCGTAGGAGAACCAAAGTAACCGACATAGCTCGCAGAATTGCTAAAATCAAGTGGCAGTGGGCGGGGCACATAGCTCGTAGAGACGATGGCCGTTGGGGCAGGAAAGTTCTCGAGTGGCGACCACGGGCTGGAAAACGTAGCGTGGGCAGGCCTCCTACTAGGTGGACCGACGATCTGGTAAAGGTCGCGGGAAGAGCCTGGATGCGGGCAGCGCAGGACCGTTCATTGTGGAAAACCTTGGGGGAGGCCTTTGTCCAGCAGTGGACGTCATTTGGCTGAAACGAAATATTGTGCAAAATGTAGCAATGAAAGGACCGGACGGAAGTCACGTGGTCAGACCGTGCGCCATGACCAGTACTCAAACCGGAAACGGACGTTACCCTCATAATTTTTTTGAGTTTTCAGTCGATCGATCGTGGTTTTGATGATTTTTTATGGAAGGTTATTAAAATTGTATGTAGAATATTTTCTACATAAAAAGTAGGGTTTTCGTTACAAATACACACACAAGAGGATAAATACTGGTCGGTAACGATTTTAATTCTGTCGATTAGTTCTACCTTATCTTTATGTGAATGAAATAATTCAATGTTTTGAAATCAAGTGGTTAAAAAATCCGCTAAAAGTAATTTAGGTAGATAAATAGTGAAAAAGAGCTAAAAAAGGCAGAATTATTATGGCCAAAGCATAATTGGCCTTTAGAGAATTGGCCGTGTGCTGAACAATAGAATAACTGAGTGTAGAGAGTAGGGTTTCTGCTCGAGCTTTCTCGAACTCGAGAAAACTCGAGAAATTTGGCTTTATTCGAGACGAGAAAAAAATTACCGGAGCTCGAGAATTCTCGAGTTTCGAATTTGAAGCTTTAATATTCTTGAAAGCCTATTTTCTTAGACAAAAGTAAGTTTTTAATTATTTAATAGGTTAACGTTGCATTTAGACTGGCCTAGTCTTTCCTTTTTTTTAACTAATTTGATTTGCAAGTAATGACAGACCTGTTCATCTCCGCGAGTTTACATCGAAAACAAAACACGCACGATGGCGCACCTACAGGATACTATTCGACAAGGCCTCACATACGAGCGAACATTGACTTACGCACGCGTATTCTTGTGTATGATGGAAGAAAATAAAGAAAATGGTGTACTAAATACTGTGCAGTATTTAACTGCCTAAATAATAATAAAACCACAGAATGTACTTTTTTAAGTTGCCTCAAGACACTGAGAGGTAAATAAGTAGTTAATATTATTCATGATAATTCATGCTAAATCATGTATTTCCTCCGCCATTTTCCGCAGTTTGCCACCTTACGTCACATCATTTTACCGAAGTCAGCCCTATAGCTTCGGCGCAGTGCCGATCACTGACGTTTGTCAACAAAATGGTGCTTGACTCTTGAGACAGGCTAAATTACACCATATTGTTAATGACATTGAGCATACATTTTTTAAAATACCTTCGCGAAGTAAAACTTCTGTACGTAGTACTTATTATTATTCTGTGGTAATAATGTTCACCTACGAGTATGCTATATTTCATTACTAGCTTTCCGCCCGCGGCTTCGCCCGCGTGGAATTTTGCCTGTCACAGAAAAACTTTATCGCGCGTGTCCCTGTTTCAAAAACCGGGATAAAAACTATCCTATATTCTTTCCCGGGACTCAAACTATCTATATGCCAAATTTCATCAAAATCGGTTGAGAGGTTTAAGCGGGAAAGCGTAACAGACAGACAGACAGACAGACAGACAGACAGACAGACAGACAGAGTTACTTTCGCATTTATAATATTAGTTGGGATGTTTGTATAACTGACTGATTTAAAGACTGATTTTTTTTGTTAACTATCTGTTAGTTTAGGTACTCTTAAATACGTTTATTCAAGTCGTTATCTTTAAGTTTAAAAATTAATTAAAAGTTTTTTTTTGTTTGTAAATGTAGGTTTATTATCGTAATTTTTCAATTAATTTGGACTTGTGTTCTTTGGAAAACAAGTGATTCAATTGGAGCTCCAGATATTTATGGTTATTAATCCTTAAAGTACATGCGACTTTATGACTTTTGTTCCTTTAGTTAATTACTAAGTTATAATTATTATCCTACTAATATTATAAATGCGAAAGTTTGTGTGGATGTCTGGATGTTTGTTACTCTTTCACGCAAAAACTACTGAACGGATTTTGTTAAAACTTTACAGTATTATTGATTATAACCCAGACACATTATAACATTAATAAAAACCCGTGTTTTTATTAAAATTCAACCGATTTCAACAGTTTTAAATAAAAAGACTCGAGACCCGAGAAAACTCGAGACTTTGGCCTCGAGAATTCCCGAAACTCGAGAAAAAAAATAAGTCGAGAAATCAGAAACCCTAGTAGAGAGACAGTACAACCAAACGCAGGAGNCGGTGTCCAGATTTTTTTTCCTGTAAAGACCCTCGGCGCCCGACGCTGTGAAAGCATACTTACCTGGCGTAGGGGACACCGTGATCACGAAGGCGGTTCCCCCAGGGCGAGGCCGGTCCATTGCACTGCGGACGGGTTGACCCCTGCGATTATCCCTAATGCGGATAACTCGGACGCGTAATTTTTGGTAGTGGGGACTGCGTACGCGCCGTCCCCCCCTTAAACTCTTGACACAATTTAATTGTAATCCAAGTTTTTACCAAATACGCAAAGGCGTACCGACAGCGCACATTAGGTGATAAAACGCGGGCACGAAATGCATGCGCGTCATTTCATATTATTTTATCGTATCGTCGCGACATGTCTAATCTAATCTAAATAATTACAACTTAAAGGTGACTGACTGAAATAGTGATCTATCAACGCACAGGACGGATCGGGCTGAAATCGTGGGCAGGCCTCCTACTAGGTGGACCGACGATCTGGTAAAGGTCGCGGGAAGAGCCTGGATGCGGGCAGCGCAGGACCGTTCATTGTGGAAAACCATGGGGGAGGCCTTTGTCCAGCAGTGGACGTCATTTGGCTGAAAAAAGAAAAGAAAAGAAAGAAAGAGAGACAGTGTACTTGAACACCTGGCTGTGACCACGAAGAATGTAATGTGATTCGACGATGTCAACACAGTGCTGGTGACTCAAAGAGGAAAAAGAAGTACCTGCGTACCTAAGGTAAGTAATATTTTTTATCTTAACTATGCGCTATGTTCCATTTTTAAATTCTACCTACTAATCGAAAAGAGCGCAAAATTCCAATAAATTGATAGATCTGTTAAAATGCAGCTGTGCATGCGTCCTTAGATTGCATACATTAATTATTATGTATGGTAAGTATTCGTATTTTCTTCGACATAGGTACCTATGACACAGAAGACAGAAGACACACTCTGTGTGTTTTTATCATGATTTCTCACGATCATCATCATGGGCCAGTTCAGACGTAGGGTAAGCCTCTAGGGATGTCTGTCCATGTCTTTCTGTATCTCTCTTAATTTGTACACAAATCTCTACATGCAGTACCGAACAAACAAATCTCCAACTTTTTTAAATAGACCCATTTTATTGATACCGATTCGCTGGCAACGGGTTCAGAAATAATAACGTCTATTTTAGAGTCTGTTGTGACGTAACGCAGTGGAATTCACACCACAGTCGCAGTTATTTTGGGTTGACGATATGGATTTTAAGACCTAGTACGTACCTATAACGATTGTTTTCGTGGTTCATAGTTAATTCTTCGTCATTTCAGCTACAGGGCGTCCACTGCTGAACATAGGCCTCCCCCAATGGTTTCTCTTGACCGGTTAGTAGCGGTGACTTTGGCATTCCGTGGTCCCGATCTGGTGGTTTCCTTGATAGACTGCTCAACTGCTGCAGTTGTAAGTATTATTTTTCTGGTGGAACTAAATCCGTTTGAAAGTGGTTCTGTCTGTTACCTACTCGAGTTTAAATCACTGAACCGATTTAGATGGGTATAGAGATAGTTTGCAATTTTGGGACAAAATCTGGTCAAAGTTATGATTTGTGTTCACTCTATTCTTGCTAGACTAATGCGGAAAAAGTAAACAATTTACGTGCTACCTTAAACTTAAGTTTATGCTAGTTAGTTTAAATACGAATAAAAAATCTCAAGAATTATGCTAAGTAGTATATTGTAAACTTTAACAAAATACCTAACTAAAATAGGTTCAGCAAACAATTGTATTTTTGTACGATTTTCGTATTTCATTAACAAGTTTTTCAGTCAATTTCAGTAATCCATCTTGAATAATGATGGGTTTTGGGTTAATTGCTTGAAAAGTTTCTTAAAAACCTTTGTTTAACCTCAGCTATTATCACACGATAGAAGTAGGTATCACTATGATATTAAAATAAAACGTTTCCTACATTTAATAAGAGCGATCGAAATAAATTTGTTGTGACGCTGTCTCGTGACTATTATGTGAAAACGAGATTAGTATTGCGCAATGTTTTGTAAACTTATATTTGATACAATCAAGTCTTAGATAAAGGAGTTGCCAGTTCGATTCCCGCTTAGAAC